AAGAGTTAGGAGTCAATTGCCATACGCCCAAGTCGTACCCCAGCAATATGTCCTTGATGCAGGGGTGAAGGGGGAACCGGAGGCCTGCTTTGAATGCCGCCTCATAACAGCCGAAAAAATCATCGGCATGGTCCAAGTCATCCTCCCATACGACGGTTGCATTAACAGGCGGGACTCTTATTTCCCAGTCCTTCCCAACTGGTTTCCTTTTAAAAAGAAAGGCAGGAAGGGTTGCAGTAAGGGTGACCACGTCTCTTGCTGACATGGTCATGTCAGTCGGATCCCCCTTAGCCGGCCATTTGTAGGCCTCCTCAACAATAGGCTCAGCCTCCTGTGCTGGGGCTTCAGATTCGGACCCAGACCCTTCTCCAGCAGATTCATCGCCGGATCCTTCGGCATTAGAATCAGAGTCTTCTAATATGCTATCACCCGGTGTGCTCGGACCACTCGGGGAATCTTGACGAGTCCCCAAGGTTTCTTCCAAAGGAATTTCACCAGACGGTCCTGCCGTCTGGTCCTCGTTTCTGGATCAGCCGGATCTTCGGCTGCGTCGTCGGATTTGTAATCCGGGTCAACTGCCGTCCATCTTATCCGAGCCATTCTGTCCTGCACATGAACAGAGACGGTCGGATTCGAGGTAGGTGAAGGTTCGCCCAAATACCCCCAGACGGCAGTCCCAGTCCTAGACTCAGCCGTGCCTGGTGACCGCCTGACAGCAGTCGTAAACTGTGCCGAGTGTATAATTGAAGGGTCCATATCCTATCTATGCAACCGGAAAATTAACAAAAAGAATTGAAAAAGGGTGCAGACGGTACCTTTGGAGGTTGGAATTTGCTGAGATGGTGGCTTGAAACCTACACAGGCGGAAATCTCCGAATGTGTTTGAAGCTGAAATAAAGAAATAGATCAGACATGTTTAATTGGAAGCTCATTTAAAAGCCCCCCAAGCGGCGGAGACCCGGATGAGGATAGCAGAGATGGGCTGGAAGTTGCTCAAACAACCCCCATACGGTTAAAAGCCGGATGGGGCAATTTAAACAACGTTTGAGAAAAAGCCAAGGCTGCTCAAACGACCCCCATACGGTTAAAAGCCGGATGGGGCAATTTGAAACAGTTTGAGCCAAGGTTGCTCAAACGACCCCCATACGGTTAAAAGCCGGATGGGGGCTATTTGTATGTTTGAGAAAAAGCTTAAGGCTGCTCAAACAACCCCCATACGGTTAAAAGCCGGATGGGGGCAATTTAAAACAACGTTTGAGAAAAAAGCCAAGGCTGCTCAAACGACCCCCATACGGTTAAAAGCCGGATGGGGCAATTTGAAACAGTTTGAGCCAAGGTTGCTCAAACGACCCCCATACGGTTTAAAAGCCGGATGGGGGCTATTTGTATGTTTGAGAAAAAGCTTAAGGCTGCTCAAACAACCCCCATACGGTTAAAAGCCGGATGGGGCAATTTAAACAACGTTTGAGAAAAAGCCAAGGCTGCTCAAACGACCCCCATACGGTTAAAAGCCGGATGGGGGCAATTTGAAACAGTTTGAGCCAAGGTTGCTCAAACGACCCCCATACGGTTAAAAGCCGGATGGGGCTATTTGTATGCTTGAGAAAAAGCTCAAGGCTGCTCAAACAACCCCCATACGGTTAGACGCCGGATGGGGCAATTAAAACAACGTTTGGGGAAAAGTCGAGGCTGCTCAAACTACCCCCATACGGTTAAATGCCGGATGGGCAATTTGAATGATGTTTGAGAAAAAGCCAAGGCTACTCAAACTACCCCCATACGGTTAAATGCCGGAATGGGGCAATTTGAAAGATGTTTGAAAGCAAAGGTTGATCAAACCACCCCCATACGGCTAAAGGCCGGATGAGGTTACTTATGACTAGTCTGCATTAAAAACAAAGTTGGCTTAAAGGGGTCCCATGCGGCACAATGCCGGATGGTAGTGTATTAAACATTCCAGACGGCAAAACGCCGGATGAGGGAGATTTTTTGGACTTGTCCCAAGCCAGCCCCATGCGGCAAAATGACGGATGAGGGCATTTTACATAATATACCCAGGCGGCAAAATGCCGAGTGAGGTCCTTAATCTAGGGTAGAGGGAGAAAGCAGACGGTACCTTACTAAATCCGCACTCAGCCGGAAGGCAGACGTCAAGTTCTTGCGAAAACCGGATGCTCGAAAGTCTTGAAAGAAGCAGCCGGTATCAGAGCTTCTCAGGAAATTTTTGAAAATAAAAAGTGCGGAGGAAAGAGGTAGCCACCCTACTTATAGAAAGAGGCAGAAGGCGAACAGTCACTTGCACGAAAATTTGAAATTCAAGAGGGGGAAGGCAGACGAACCGTCACTTACCCCGTGCACCCTACGTCTGTCACAGATGACACGTGAGATTGCCACATCTCATCTGTGAGGGGCAGATGTTTAGGGTGAAAATACCTAAGACACGTGGCCCAATAAATGCTTGACACGTGTCAATCTTTCAGCAGTCTGCAAAGGCCCATTTCCTTTGCAGACACGTGTCCTTATACCCTTATTGAGGTACAGTTCTCCCTTACTATAAATAGTAAGGGTAGACCTCATTTATGAGGGACAGACATTAATTGCAACCACAAAAAACCAAACAAAGCCTAAACCTACTGAAACGCTCTCGAACCGAGAAGCTTTTACAGTTCTTATTCCACTTCGAAAAGATACTAACTTAATCTTCGGAGGCGGAACTCCCACCCCCCATCCGGAGTCTCCGTTACTTGTGCAGGTACAGGTGCAAGAAGGAAGTCGGCTAGCTGCAGGTACAGGCGTAAGAAGGAAGTCTGCTAGGAAATTGTAACTCTCCCGAAGGACACAGAAAACCCCCAAACACCTTCTTACCACAATCCTAGACTTTAGGTCTCGTACATTCGGTAAGGTTATTCTCACACTAGCCTAAACTAGCCAATTCTATGTTCAACCAAGGACATCTAAACCACGCTCGAAATTTTATTACCAAAAAAAAGCAAATATCCATCACATGCAATCCAATATCATCATTGAGGACTAATCTAAAGCAAAAAAAAGTTTTCATTTTTAATTTTTTTTTTCAAACATTATATACAAGGATAAAAGGGAGAGAAGAGAGTTACCATTGATCTAGGTGTGTTAGTGTCTTTCATACATACAAGATGATAAAAGTATGGTGATTAGTAGCAAACCAAATAAAGAATATCATGAGTGGATCATATGGATAAGAATCAAACAATCATTCCACAATTAATTGATAAACTATTACTTGCAAAACTAAGGCAATCATATCACATGCTCACTTGAATTCATTTCACTATCAAAGACACTAATCAAATCTAAATTAATTAACTAAAAGTGAAAACAATATATACAAAATCTATACTAAAAAGAAACACAAATCTTTTTTTTTTTTTTCGGTTAGGAGAGGAGAAAAGGGGCTAATCTAAAGAATTTGGATTAAGGGTACAATTTTGGATTTTTGGGTTTTGGATTAAAAAGGGAGAGGAGACTCATCAACAAACATCATCATCAATGGGAAGCACATAAGGTCAAGCCATTTTCATTAAAATGCAAACATTCAACCATTAATTAACCAACCAAGCTAAACAAAGCATAATCAAATTAAGCACAAAACTAGCAAACACCTAATCCCAACTCTATACAAGGCCTAAATATTTCCCCAAGCTAGACATTCAATTACCGTTTCAATGTAAGAGAATAGGCAATGAAATAACCTCCCCCAAGCTTGGGATTGGCACCATCCTTGGTGTCCCAAGGATTAAGAGGGCAATGAAACGGTGAATGAAATGCCTAATCCATCTAGTAATGCCGACGCCCCGGCGAATAATGAAAGTTGTAGTTAATATCTACACCGCTAGGAGCTGCTGGGGCGTCTACATAGGGAGGTAGATCGTAGTTGGGACAAGTACGGTAGTGGCCAAAATCCGGCACACCTTGCTCACCCCAACCACCATCATATTCGGGTGGGAACTTGTAATGCCCCCTTAAGGGGTAATCAAGTACCTCCGTAAATGAACTATCATCGCTAACCTCGGGGACGTAGTAATAGCTAGGGTCACCCCTATAATCACTGCCCCCGAGTTGTGTGTAGTCATAAGGGGGATAATGGCATGGCTCGTCAATAGAGCAACGCGGCCCTTGCCAATAAGGGGAGGTGGGTCGGTTGTTAGACCAACCCAGAACCGCCCTTGTTGAACGGGACGGTTGGGATAGTTAAGGTAAGGGAGAAAGTCTCCCCTCTCAACTTGGTGTTAATAGCTTCTCTCCGCTACAAAGCTTTGATATTCATTTTCTTCTAACATTATTTGGTTGGTTAAGTTTAAATAATTAAAAGCCTTTTCGACATCAAAAAGGGTGGAATAGGAGGATGAACCATCTCCCTTAGATCGGGGAATGGAGGATGTACTCATACGACGAGGTATAGGTGCATCCTTGTCATCGTCGGCCATCCTTCGTGGGAGTTGATCAGGTGGCACGTGCCACGACGTGTCTCCCACGGAGTTAATGACCGCAACATTTGAGAGTGTGCAAAAATGCTTCCCATTGACCTTCGAACTAAAGCGCAACTGTTAGAAAAGGGGTTTTTAACGACAAATTATTTTGTCGTTGAAGCTTTTTACGACGAATAAATTTTTGTCGTTTGTTCAATGTAATAGGCTCCCACGTTATTGGTTTTAACGACGATGTTCATCGTTAGATAATGACAACATATTTTCTGTTGTTAACTATTAATAATGACTAAAAGACTCACCGTGAATAGATTTTCTATTCACGATAAACAACTAGGCAATGACGACCAAATATTCCCTCGTGAAATACATATCCAACAGTAAAAAAAAATTTAATTAGGATATTCACGACCATATTCTTTGTCGTTAATGATAAATGCTTTTAATAAGAGCCTTTTTACCAACAGTTTTTAATACAATTAATGTTAATTAAATTACAAAACTCAAGATAAATAAAAAATAAGACAAAAATCATTATAATAAATTTTGAATGAATTATTAAATTTCAAGTCTGCTAAAACCCAGCAACAACGTTACAATATTACATCCTTTCTAAATTCCACACTATCTATAGGACAGTAAGACTAATCAATAAAAGAAAAACCAAAAAAAGTTTGAGCCAAATTTAAAGACCGAGAGTAAACCAAATTAGATTTATCTTCCAATCACATCAAAGCCTTGATACTCCGTATCATCTACGACCTCTCTTTTTAACTGAAAATTTCAAAAAATAAGTAATACTACATTCATCATGTACCAATTTAGCTTCCATTATATAAAAATAAAAAAAACTTCATAAAAATAGAAATTAAGGTTAGTAGTTATAATTGTTATTACTACCTGATTTGAGCTCTTTGTCAGTGCTACTCTGCAAAATTTTGTCAGAATAATAAAAAAAAATTGATTTAATGTAAAACATTGAATTTGTAAACTGCACATCCAACAATAATAATACTACCTCCGTTTTTTTTTATGTGCAACTTTTGCCATTTTAGTCCGTTCACTATTATGTGCAACTTTCCTTTTTCATTCTATTTTTGGTAAATAAAAACCCTGAAAATTACAAACTTACCCTTACTTAAAAATTCAGATTTTCTTAATGCTATCCTTATCTTATTTTAATCACAATAACTTTTTTATCTAATCTAAAATCATTAACCTAATTGTACCTTCTCCAAGACTACCTCCCCTCAGAAATTCATTCCCAATTTCTTCATCACCTCAGAAATCCCAAATTCCCCCAAATCTGCCATTTTCTCTCTCCTCTCTTCACTTCTCCTTCAATGGCGTCATCGTCGGTGACCTCCATTTTCTCTCTCCTCCTGATCTCCACCATCCTCTCGGTCGTCTCAACCCGCCCCGGCCTCCTTTTCCACCCCTGCAACACCCTCATCGTTTCCACCTACTCCTCTTTCCTCCCTCAAAACCCTAACTCCGACCTCCCCAACAACCCCCATTTCATCGTCGTCTCCGCCGATCTCCGCCCTCTCCACCACCACCATTTCCGCCACCGTCGTTTCCTCCCTCTCATCGACAAAACCCAGAAACACGAATCCAAACCCGAACCCATCAATGAAAGACCCGAATTCTTGAACGAAAACTGGGTCTCTTGAACGACCCTTTTTCGAATGGTAACGCCTGCAAGTTTGTTCACGGCGCCGGCGGTGGTGGGTTCTCGGATACCGGTGATGATTCCGGCCCAATTGTTGCTCCCTATGACCACCGGCTTTCTCTCTTTCATCTTTGATTTTGATTTTCAGGGTTTTGATTTTGATTTTGATTTTCAGGGTTTTGATTTTGATTTTCTGGGTTTCGATTTTCTGGGTTAGAGGTGGGTTTGGGTGGTGGGGTGGTCTGGGTTAGGGTTGGGTCTTGGTGGCGTAGGTGGTGGGGTGGTCTAGGTTAGATGTGGGTCTAGGTGGTGGGGTAGTCTAGGTTAGATGTGGGTCTAGGTGGTCTGGGTTAGATCTGGGTTTTTTGGTTAGGGAGGGGGCTGCCGGAAAAAAGAAGGAAAGACGTGAGGGTGGTGGTGGTTTCTTGGGGTCGGTTGTGGTGGTGGTTTTGTGGGGGTGGTAGTGGTGGTGGTGAAGCCAGTGGCGGTGGTGGTGAAGCCGACAGTGGTGGTGGTGAAGGCGGCGGCGGTGGTGGTTGGTCTTGGTGGTGGCAATGGGTGGTTTGATTAATTATTCAAACATTCTCTCTCCACCTTAATTACATACTCTTATAATATATTAATCACCATTATACTTTCTTAATCTTTGCCCTTCAATCTTTTGCCTCGTGAACCGTTTTATGTGCCAAAGTTGCACATAAAAAAAAACGGAAGGTAGTAATACAAAAGAATAACAATCATGATAATTAACAAATATCAAGCATAAAAAACTTAGGTAGATCGGTAGATGTCACAAGAATCCAAAGAAATGATAAGCTCTAGTATCTGACTACTACTCTAACATATGATATAAAATTTAAAGCCTATAATCTTTACCAAGTGCTAACCAATTGACAAAGAATAGAGATGATTAGGTAGATGATCTTAACAAAATGAGCATGATAATACAAACATGAATACATGCATTTCTACTAAGTAGCAACTCCTATCTACAAAGCTAAAGCGCATGGTGTCAACATATACACTTCAACATCTATTTGTTAGAGCCCATCAATCACTTATAAGAGAGCACTTAATTAGCTACACTAAGCTAAAATATAAGTAGTATTAATTATCACAATTAGAATTACGTAACCAATCAATCAATCAAAGCCTTAATCCCACAAGTGGGGTTGGCTACATGAACCAAATTTGATTATTCCGTGTAGTCATCGGCACTTAATTAGAATTACGTAGTGCATATAGGATATTTAAAAAAGCAACGGTAGCAATGCTTAATACAAATCCAACTACAACAACTTTCTGCCCACCAAAAACCACTGATGCAAGCCGGTGATCAGATTCCAGTTTTTCCCAATAGGATTTTTTTAAAAAGCATTGTCTGGGATGGATCCCAACAAATTTAGAGAATCCATACTATCATATGAACCCATCTTATCAAAAGATAAGAAGGAAAGGGTTGGGGCTAGAAGCCAAACAGTAAAGAAATCAACTACAGCTCCCCTGAGTGAGTCGGTAACAACATAGTCAATTTCCAGAAAAAAAATTTCTTTCCGTTTCTCATACTGTGCAAGCAGAGTTGTTGTCAGTGATATAGCTTCTTCAATAGCTAATTTGTTTCAAAATTTTGGATTTGCTAATAACCTTTCTCTGAAACCCTGCACAGAAAGTACATTATGATACGGTCACCTCTTTGGGCTCTTTCCACTACCCCCCCCCCCCCCCACCAACCTCCCTCCCCAAACAAAATTAAGTCATATGTAGTCTATATGAATATCATTTTGATTATAACTATTAATTATGATTTAATCAAGTATGAATTATTCAAAGTAGATAATATCTAATATCAAATTGCATATTGCATATCAAATCAATTCTTTTTCGATTAGAGTGCGTCAGTCATCAAGTTTCAATGGCAGACATCAGGCTAGCAAATTAGATAAGAGCAATCTATGACCAAGTCATCAACTAAAATTTGTAGAAGTGTAGAACATAAGTATCACTTTAAATTTGTTATTGGATCAGAACCAAAATTACAATACACACTGCATATAAAATTTTATATAACTAAAAACATACACCAAGGCCAAAAGAATCCAAACACATGAACAATAACATTTCAAGGCTGTGCACAAGTCCAATTGAGGCTAACAAACCATTGTTTCTGCAACAATTACCCAGTTTAGCGTGAAGTAATTAATTTTTTTACACAAAGAAATTGAATTATCCAACCAAAAATTATATAATTATATCTAGCTATAAATAAAACATTTACATTTATAGAACGAAAAATCAACTCCATATTTTCAATTAGCTATATGGTTTTGTTGCATATAATGATTGTTATGCTGCTTGTAGCTAACACTAGTCATACCCCATTCCCCTCTTTTTTCTTTTAGCTAGTATGCATGTATATTAGTTCATACCCATTAAGTTTTTAGCCCAACTTCCTTAACAAATCATTAATTATTTGATGATATTTCATCTACTGCCAACACTCATGAGTCATGATCCTACTTATTCATTTCCCATAAAAGATAAATAGAAGGAAATAGTTTGGAAGTACATGCAAGTAGCTATATAAATTAAGAAAAAAGGAATCAGATTACCAATTTAACATAACAAATTCAATAAATCACCCATCTTGAGTAATTCCACAAATAATCAAACGAAATTACACTAATAAAAGGGGAAGAATAATGGATCAGAATGAAAACCATCAGACCACATTTAAAATCGAACAACTAATGTAAAATTAAGAGTAAAGTCATTAGATTGAAAACGAATTACATTTATTTACTCAAACCCATTCAGTTACATAAGATTGATTAGGATTCAACGAATTTGAGCATTTAGGTTCATTATTTAATTAATTAAAGATATTAAACTGAAAACGAATAATGGATCAAAGAAACCAATTATAATCGAACAAAGAAAAAAAATTTAGATCCTCAACAAATTAACAAGTCCATCACATTAAATGAAAATTAAACCCTAAACTACAATTATGTAATTCAAAAGAGATTTGTTTACATACCAAAATGCAGAAAATTATCCTTCAATTTATTAGCTTATGATTATCTTCTAAATTGGAGAAAGAACAAACCTCAATCTGACGCACTTTTGATTAACTTCGATTTGGGTTGAATTTTTGAGAATAAGATTTGATTGAGAAACAAGGGTTTTGTTTTGGAGTTCAAGTGCACGGCGGGAGGGGAAAGTTATCCCCGCTTCAGATACAACAATAACGACGGTAAATTTTTTCTTTTTTTTTCAAAATTATTAACGAGGAACACATCACATCATTACCGACAATAGTTCAAAAATCACGAGAAACATTTTTAGTCCTCGTAAATATGCTTTTAACAATGAATTTTTTTTTATCGTGGTTATTGAGTTGTCGTTAATTACTTAAATTCTAGTAAGGGCAACCTGGCCCAAAATTTCAACAAGGATTTCTTCATATCATAAAGTTCCTTGATATCAATCAAGTTAGAGCCATGGATCGGGACCATTTGGTCTAAAAAGGCACCAAATCCTAAATTCCTCGCTATAATCGACATCATTCCCCCACACTTAATCTCGCCTTTTAACCTCATGTATATACATCTTTTAATGAACATATATCCCATGTTCACGTTTCCCTTTCACATTGCCTTCGAATCTTGAAGCTATGAAGAGGCATTTGATCTCCTCTTTTGTTAGTTTCCCTAAGTCTTGCTTAGAGAAACAAGCATAGCTCACCATTCTCTTGAAGATTCGAAAGCACGGGGTGGATAATGTGGCTAGCATGGCTAGACCGGGTTGTGAAATGGGGATACCTCGCAATGGTGTTCCACCACACTTGCTCCTCGTAGCTAGAGAAGTAAGTACTATTGGGGTCATACACTTGGTTTGAGGTGGGCCATGTGAAGATTTCATTCAATCTAGTTAAGTTAGGACCTTCTCGGTATTGAACATCCTAAACTTTATTTCACATTCTAATGGTTCACCTTCAAGATTTATGCGCTTCATAGTGACCGATGAAAGGAATTCAAGAGTTAAGGAAGCATATGTTTCTTCCTTAAGATTTAAGAAGTTTAGCCAACCGAAATTGTTGGCTACTCTTCTTATTCCTTCATCGATCCACAGTAGCTCCATTGATTCTTTGTGATAGAAATGGGTTGGGAGAAATTTTCTCTTTAAAAGGTCACTGTGTGCTTTTTTATTTCGCTCATGGATTCTTATGGTTGGTGGTGGGTTAGGATTGTTTTGTTGTGAAGGAGTTGGGGATGGTTGAGGTTCATTAGGCTTTCTTTTTTTACCTCCTCCAAGGATTCTCTTCATTTTTTTTAATTAGGGGATGGTTACTCAAGAAGCTCACTCAACAACAACCAACAACACCACACACACCCTTAACTTCAAACCCCCGTAAAAATCCAAGTACCTGTTTCACAATATAATACAACACAACCAAACAATATCTCCCAACACACAATTTCACAAACAAAATCAATTTCACCAATTTTCACACAAATCAGGTTCACAAATTCACCAAGTATAATCAATTTTCAATCACAACACCTCTATTCCAAAAATCATTCACAAATTTTCACTAACCATTCTCAATAATCAAAAATATTTGTTTAATTTCAACTAAACATGCAAATAACTACACAATTTACATGAAATAAACAAAATTAAGGAAATTCAAAGAAGAACCCTAAGGTTCAAGAGGGAAAGTGAAGTAGAGTGGGAAATTATACCGATTAGAGTATAAAAAATACTCTAAATTTTTGTCCAACATTACTCAACTAAGCTCCTTCTTTAATCCTTCAACCTTTGCTTTTGTTCTTCTATGGAGAATTTGTGAGTTTTTGAATTTTTGCTCAATTTTGTGGAAATTTGTGGTTTTTAGAGAGAGAATTAGATGTAGAGTAAGGATTTGTGAATTTCGAGTGAAATTTTTGAAGGATTAATGATGAATTTGAAGAGAAAATGTAGAGAAAATGAGGGTTTTAGAGTGAGAAGTAGATGGGAAAATGAGGAGAGGGAATAGGGGAAAGGTGAAATGAGAGGTGGGAGGTGGGAGATGAAAGAGGGTGAAAAAAGATTAAAAAAAATCTCAGAAATTACCAAATGGTGTAGGAGCAGGCGTGCAGGTAGGATGGAGCGCCCGCTCCTACCATTTGAAGTGCAATATGATTTTCCTTTCCTAAATTGATTTCGACTTCTTGTTTCGTTTTCAATTTTTTTTAAAGAGCTGATAAGAGGAGCGGGCGTGCAGGTGGGGTGGAGTGCCCCACTCCTAGTCTTGATCAGGTTTTTGCCTCTTGTGGTTTGGATAGAAGAGGGCAAGCACATGGTTAGGAGCGCCCGCTCCTAATGCTGTTGGAGTTCCTGCTTTGTTGAATGCAGATGGAGCGGGCACGCGCCACTAGAGGATCGCCCGCTCCTAAGTGTATCTCCGAGACTGTTATCCTTTGTCCTCTCGAGTAAATCATCCTATAACAAAACCAAGCACGAGCAAACACTCAAAATTGTTAAAGTGTTAGTTCGAGCTCTGTCATATCTCATCATTTTTTTTAGTAAAAACAAAAATACTCGGGTTGCCTCCTGGGAGCGCTTCTTTAATGTCAATAGTTTGACGCAAATTCAAAAAATATCCTCAAGGTGGGATAAAGTTCGAAACCATTTTGTTACCATTGTTACAAATTTCCTTCATGGGTAAAATCAAATCATTTTCTTGACTAACACTAAGAGCAAAGTCACTAGAAACCTCCTTAGAATCCTTCTTCTTCTTCCTTTTTCTCTTTGGCTTTCCCTTCCTCTTCCTCTTAGGAGCTTTAGTGTCAACCGCTTCATCCTTATGAGCGTCGGACTCACCTTCTTCAAGCATCGTCTTGAGGTGATTTCTTTGACTCATAAACACAAAAAAAAGGGTTAGTGGCACAAAGCATTCTCAAGTCATGCAAATCATTATCATTAAGTGCATCTAAGGTCATGCAAGCTTTCATGGGGGAAGGACGTCCTCTCTTAGGATCAATAGTTAGACAAAATTCATCATCACCCACATTCAATGTGAGATTACCTTCCCTTACATCTATAATTGCACCACCTGTTTATAAGAAAGGTCGGCCTAGGATGATAGGGGGGTGAGGGCATCTTTCCTCATTTCTAGCACAATATTAAGTCAACGGGAATAATGAAATTGCCCACCTTAAGTGAGACATCCTCAACCTTACCCTTAGGGAATTTGGTGGATCGATCGACAAGTTGAAGAGTGACATCGGTGGGTACCAAACCACCTATGCCTAGCTTCTCATAAACCAAAAGAGGTATCAAACTCACACTTGCTCCTACATCACATTGGGCTTTTTCAAAGGAAATGTTTTTAATAGAGCAAGGAATGGAGAAATTTTCGGGATCTTAATTTAGTGGGTGAGTGGTTCTTGATAATTGCACTACAATTTTCGGCTAAGCTCACCGTGGTGGACTCACTCATGACAACCATTTCATCCCCACTTGACTTAGACTCCTCACACTTTTTCTCACCCCTAACCTCCTCACTCTCATTCTCTTTTTGCAAACTCATAGGTGGAGTCTCTTCTATGGTAGTCCCACATCTAGTCATAATTGCATTACAATGTTCTCTAGGATGAATAACTTGATTGGGCAAAGAATGAAAGGAATGGTGTCCTTCGAACAAGTGTATTATTCCGATAGAGGGTTCGGAATTAATTAGGAAAGATAATTATTCGGTGAGGTCAAGTGATCTGAATGCCTAGCTGGAGGCTGCTTTTGATCAGTAATATTAATGTATAATTAATATTACATCTTACTCTTGACTGAACCCTTCGGGTCACACCCAATCGTGTAACCGAACCAAAGCAACGAATTAATCTGAAGGAATAAATGAGTCTATAGAGATTTTACGAACTAAGATGTTGGATTCCGAGCTTAGAGCATCGGAGCCGAGCGTCGAAAGTTGAGTCGTATCTAGGGATCGACGAGACGAAAAAATCAGTCTAACAAAAAGTCAAAACGTATAGCCCTAGCCTCGGAATGGCCTAGCCATGCGAGGGCTAGGGCATGCGGCTAGCAAGGGATGCTAGCACGCAAGGCATAGCCGCAAGCCCAGCCGCAGCATGCGCGTGCTAGTTGGGCAGTTGCGACATGCCGAGAAAGCTAGCAGCGCTAGCTCGCTAGCATTGCAGGCTAGCATCGCTAGCACGCCAGCATGCTAGCATGCCAGCAAGTTAGCAGCGCTATCAAGCTCGCTAGGCCTCGCTAGCTGCTGCTAGCACCAGCCGCTCAGTAGCCCGCAAGAGCGCAAGGCTTACTGGGCATGAGAGCAGCGCATAGGCCTAGCTGGCTGGCCCATCCGAGCACAAGGGCTGCCAGCGTAGAGCTCCTTGTTGCTCAAGGATGAGCGGCCAATTAGCCGGTTCCTATTGGGGCTGGTCATTTGTGAGGGTTTTCTTGTGGAGCAAGGGGAAGGTGGTCCTCCCCTTGTGGTCCTCATCTACCCCCTTGCTCTCCTTGTGACACTTGTTGTTTGGTGATTGTTTTGCCTTTTTAATTTAACTTAGAATTCAATTAAATCTTTCTTTTGGCATTTTACCAACTATCCCACATTGAAATATTATGAGAATTCTTGGGAACATTTCCCTATAAATACCAATCATTTGGTATTGGGAATTTCATTTGAGTTGGTGAACTCTAAAGGATCTCTAAAAGCGAGAAAACCTTAGTTCGTAAATTCTAAGTTATTTTTGGTCTAGCCCCATCTAAGCTACAAGGTAGGGACCGGTTTCGGTTCGGTGAGCGAGGGTGTGAGCCGTTGGAGGTTTTGCACTTGCGGAGCTTGAAACTTTCAAGTCCGAGCTCATTGAGTGAGCGAAGCACGCGTCTAGGGTGAGTTTATTTCCCTCTCTTCTCTTTATGTGTTTGTGTTTTACTTATTTGCATGCTTTTGTTTATGTTGTAATTATTATGCATGCGATCCGGTTTTCGGGTTTTGTTTCCGCACGATGTCGGACACAACAAAACCCAACAGTAGTATAAGAGCATCTTGCATTTAATTTTTACAATTAAAAATTAATTAAGGTGATTTAAATGGATTTAAAGTTCTGGTTTAGCATCCTAATTAGATTAGGAGCTCGTTTTTAATTAGATTAGAATTGCATTTATTCTAATTTTGGCCTACGAACCCCGATTTCGACTCAAAAATAGTGAATTTTGGGTGGAATTGACATTCTAAATCATTCTTTACCTACAAAGTGATTAAAAAAGACCATCCAGAAGCCAAATTCACCCCATAAGTGGTTTTTCGAGGGGTTTTTCGTTTGGAACGAAAAATTTAAAATCTTTGAACCTTGATTAATTATAGCATGCAATTGTTAGAATATGTGTTTGATTATACCATTAATCTTCTGCAATTTTAACCCTTATTAAGCATTTTTATGAAGTCATATTGGTGCTTAATTTCACATAAACTTGAAATTTCACATTCTTGCAAATAAATTGCTTGAAGTGTGAAAGTTTATGGTGAATATGAT